CTCTGGGCGGCTCACAATAAAAAGAAAGAAATACAATTCTCTCCAAGATGGCTAAAAACTATAAATAATTTAGAAACATTAAAATACCGTAAAAAATTATTATTTGTAATAAAATAATAATTCTTTGTATTGTATAGTATAAAATAATATTAATTGGCTAATCTATAACATTATACTTCTAAACATAATCCAGTTACCCAATATCACACCTAAAAACAATAATTATTCAATTTTTTACCTATTGCAATCGAGAAACTCTCAGTCGGTTACAGTCTTAACAATAAAATACCCACAATATAAATAATTTTCCATAGCAATAATTGAAACATGTACAAAATAATAAAGCAACCAATTAAAAAGGAATAAAAATATACGGTGATATCTGTAGCTTAAAGGCCCTTTTAAACAATTCTATTTTGAATACTTTCACAAAGACTAACAACACAGGAGCTGATTGGATTTGGGGTGGCAGGAAGCTCCATAGTATTCAGCACTGGTACAGAAAAACAACATTTTCAGGTCTTAATCCTCCTAATCTTCCAGAAAAGGGGGGCTAATAATAGATTTTTATGGGGAGAAAGAATTGCATTGGGTGGGTTGAAAATGAGTGGAGGACACAGTCATGGAAGTCAAAATCAGTCCTTTGAATTGTACATGGAAGCTAATATGAAACCAGTGCAGGGACTGGAGCATGGGTATAATGTGCTCATGTTGGCAAGTACCCACCAAAAGCCAGGCCACTGCATTCTGGATCAACTAAAACTTCTGTGTCTTCAAGGCAGACCCATGTAGAGGTCACAGGTCACTGATGTAAGATCTTCCTATACCAGATAAGGCTGCACTGGTACACTAGCCAAGGCTGGGCAAAGGACTCCTGATCATGCCCACCACTGCCCATTCAGCAGTAGTTGTGAGTCAAGAAAGACTCACAAGTCACCAACCTGCTCCTTCAGGGGCAGTGCCACCCCATCAAGAGACACAGCTGAAGGTTTCAGGGATCTGTGATTAACAAGCAGTAACTCCATCTTGTCAGAGTTTCACCTCAACCTGTTCCATCCCATCTAGACTGACACAGCCTCCTATTTCAGTAGCCAACACATTCCAAGGTTAAGTTTTCTTATAAGTATTTATACTAACATTTAATCTGATGCTGTTTGTGTGTGTTTGTGAGAGAGAGCATGTGCGCATGTGTGTGTGGAAAGGAGAGGTACTAAACAAGAGAAATTAACACTGAAATATAGTGCAATGCACATATAAAACAGATGGAGCTTCAGTCTCCCTGTTGCAGCTGCCATCTTGACTCTTTTTTACCATACTGTGTGGACATCCCTGGATCTTACCATTAACATGGTTCCTGAACACTCTTCTGGAATCTGTCTTGCTGTAACTTCAGGCCATCATTCCATTGTGTGTATTCTAGGAGAGCAGGGATGTCCTCACTGTAGCCATTGAAGTCAATGCACACAACTTGAGTTCTAGAAAATTAAAAAAAAAAAATCTAAGCAGAGGGTGGTAACCTTTTTTTTTTATGGTGCATTCATTATTTCTATCTGTTGCACAGGCTGCAGCTGGCCCCCTCAGCCATTAACTAGCAATTACTGGCAGAAAATAAGCTGGCTAAGCTGACTGGCCTATTTTTCTTCAAACAAAAAACCTGATGCAGTTTTGTGGAGTCTGGGCATATGTAGTGAGATTATCACCACACAAGCCCTGCCCCACAGCAGTATCACAATTCAGGCACAAGGGATGCTGCTTTGCTGGCGGCACCCCTCATAGAGAACAAGTGTTGTCCTTCTTGGGTGTGACACTATCAGATATTTGAAAAGTATTATCACACTGCTGCATTCATCTGTTCTCAAGGCTAAACATTTCCCATTCCCTCAGTCTCTTATAACCTTTAGTTTTCAGTCCTCCAAAATCATTCTTGCTGCCATTTTTTGCTTCTGTTTGTTTTTCTGAATTGTTCTGAAATTGTAATGCTGAGGACCAGCCACAGTACCAGAAACAGGTTGCAGTTAACTGAAGTACACTTGCTGTCCACAAAACCACATCAGGGGTTTTGCTTGTCAACAAAAAACAGGCCAGTCAACTTATCCAGCTTATTTTCTGCCTGTAATTATCAGTTAATGGCTGAGTGGACCAGCTGCAGCCTATGCAACTGGACTGCATTATGCCAGCAAGAAATAATTAAAGTATCATTAAAAAAAAAAAAAGTTTCATACATCCTTTCAGCCTACTTCCACCTAGACCAATTAAAATTATGTTTCTGTTTTCTAAAGTATTAGCATTCCTTTGCAGGCTTGGTAAGCATTCATAATGTTATTGAATTTCAGAATCTGGCCAACCTTAACTTCAGATCTGATAATAACCAATTATTAATAACCAATGTTAGCTAACATAAAGGAAGGAAGTGGGTCTTTTCAAGACTGTTTTCATTCTAAGAATTATTATTCTAGTTTGGTGTTTATTACATTATGATTTCAAATTAATATCTGTATTAAAAAATCCTGGTTGGATTCCTTTTTGCTCTTGTTAACATTGGCTGTTATTGTACTTCCTAGCCTCTAGAACAGGCCTTCACATATTTCTCAGCGCAAGGAATCCCATTCCCCAAGATTCTGCTAAAAGATGAAGAAAAGAAACATCCAAAAGAATGCTATGTATTTGAAGATGCAAACAATCCTGATGCACCCATCGTGCTTTATTTCCCACTAGTGAATGACACCTTCCAAAGATACATTGCACCTGGTGAGTTAATAGTACAAAACAGAAGTAAATACATTTCTAGTAGGTACTAGACAACCCATGACCTATTGGGTCATCATTTCAGAGGTATTTCCTTACCTAAAGAGAGAAACAGAATGACCAAGGACAAAAAAGCAGTGGGAGTATGAGCAACTTACAACTTGCTGCCAGCTTCCCCATTGACTTTGCTTATGGGAAGCTGGCAGGGAGTCAGAATCCTTCCTTCCTTCCTTCCTTCCTTCCTTCCTTCCTTCCTTCCTTCCTTCCTTC